TTTTATGAGCTATGTCGCAGCTCTTAAAGCTCCTTAATTACCAAAATGGCAAATTCGTTTCGCGCAATTAAAACAATTTAATTATTTGTGCGTGCATAATTGAAATTGCATTGCTGTTATCCAGAGAAACCACACACACACAGTCAAACACTTAAAATCCAATCGATACAGCGGCCAACGCCCAATAAAAAATGGCGAAAAAACAACAACTTCAATTTGTTGAAAGTTCTATATACGACATAAACAAATATACGTACATACAATAAATAAATTGGAGCAGGCGTAAATACAAAATACACACACACACACACACACATGCATGAACACACTGAGGTGCGTTGCATGAATACATATATGCAACAACATGCAGATGCACTGCACAATAAATAAAATGCAGCAAACGCATCGCAAAGAAGCAGAAGAAAAGAGTGGAGAAGCCCACATCGATGTTCGGGGGTATGGAGACAAGGGCTGAACAAAAGATTTGTGATGCGGTCAGGCAAACTGGTCTCTACGCAGTGCAAGAAGTCCTATATTTAAAGATTCCTAGAAAAATCATTGAATGTACGAGCCCAATAATCAAGAAGACTTTTTTTGATACTTTCGTAGTTATTTGCTTTCAATTGCCATGTTATGTTTTAATTTATTTTATTTGTCAAAATCCTATTTTGCATTTTTGTATTTGCATTCTCAAAATTAAATTTGTTCGCGCACATACAGATTATCCCAAAATCTGGGGGCTCTTTTAATATTCGGCAGCCCTGGTACGCAGCATAAACGAATAACAATTTTCCATTTTTTATTTGTGCAAATATTTTTTTATTTGCCTTTGTTGTTGCAATTCGTATATGAGTAATGCAAACGGACAGACAACGAGGCATGAGGCTGCGGCGAATAAAGGTGCGGCTCACAATGGGCGACACGGCGTATACGCAATACACACACACACATACGCATAGGCGCTAGCAATGAACGGAACATGTATATAACTAAGTGTACGATCGTATGTGCGTGTGTGTACGTAAAGCGGATTTCGAAACCATAAAAACGACGAAACGACAACGAGAACGGGAATGACCCACAATGAAAACGGACAGCATGTACAAATAGGAGGAGGGGAAGCTGCAGCAATGGATACACACATGCATCTACATGCACATGGACATGCACATGTCCCATAAATATGGCACACACACACACTGAAGTAGAGAGAGAGAGAGAGACCAGCAAATACACATGGGCCTATATATTGCACTTGTGTGTATATGGAGTCGTAGTAAAATGCTAGACGCAGGTAAGAGGCTGGGACAGCTTCACGGCACTTTACAAATTTGCAGCTGAAAGCTGCGCTTTGAACAATCAAGCGTGCCACATGCACACACACATAGAAAGAAGGCAAAGAAAGACAATGAAAGCAAAAGAGTAAACGCTACGCAGCTGTCGAAAACGTAAATGAAAATGAAAAATTGTGGAGGCGGCATGCAGCAGCAGCAGCAGCAGCAAATTGAAACACAACAACAGAGAACACAATAGAGAACAGGCTGGCAATGCTGCACGTTGCATATTTCGGGTCGTGTTGCAGTCAGTGCAGGTCCAGTTAATCGGCTGCAACATACGTATTCAGGTCATCATTATTGATTCGCACTCGCCGCCGTTGTGCGTATAGAGACATGAATTTTACGTACGCACTCACAAACACACGCGCACTTACGCATGCATATATATAGTATACACATACACACACACACACACGCACACTCGCAGCCAGGCATGTACATTTTTCGGACATTATGTAGCTTGCAGTTGCATATGGCAACGGCCTCGTTATGTATTTTGAGTCCTACTTAGTTGCATGCGCTATTAACTCTGGTCAGGCTCATTACTAGCGCACAATCGTTTCGCTCCTACTGACATACACACGCACAAGTGCACACACACACCGTTCTTCTACTAATCAGCAGCCATTATGTAAAGTCAGTCAAGCAAACAGCAGCAAGCGTCGCATGTACATTGCGGCGTATGCGCAACGTGCCCCAGCTCAACCAATTTAAGGCGTTGCAAATTGCTCTTGCCGCAATTCACCTGACGAGCCAGAGCTCGCATAGTTAACGAAGCACCCACGGTTTCGCCGCGGCTCTAATTCAAGGGAAAGAAAAATGAACAAAATTAAAACGATATCCATTTTAGCTCAGCAATTTCGTCTCGCTGCCGTCTTGCAGTGCAAGACTTTCATATCTCGTATTTTAGCGCCCTGAATACGCACTGCGTTGGCAATTTGCTGACAGCAGACAGGACGCGACAAGGACGACAGCTTGCCAGCCAGCCAAACAGACTCTTGCGCCTGACTCTGCTTGCCTAGGCGAGCAAAAACTCGTTTAGTTTTCATTTCATTTTCCAACCAACGCTGAAAATGCGTTTGCCTGGCAATTTTTGCTCGCCCTGGCTTCCCAACTCTAAATTGCTTGCAGCCTCCCATAGACATTGTGTATATAAACATGGACATTCCTTTCCTTTTCTTGCTCAAATCGCTGTCTGCAGCCACCCAAACAGCGCAGGCCCGGCCGGCTGCGTGTGGGGCAAGTTGTATGCCTCAGTGGCGGCGTGTCATAAAAATGTCGTCGCTACCAACGCGCAAAATGACAGCTGCACTATGGGCTAACATACGAATTTTTTATATACATACAATACAGAACAAAAAGCAAGTCCCTAGGTTCGGCCTTAGCCAAACTATTTATGCATCCTTAAACTAATAACAGAAATAATACTTAGGTATATAGAGGTCCAAATGAACTTACCCGATTATGAGGCGGAGGTACACGGACTTAACATTTAGAGTTATATCTTCCCACATGAATTCGCTGACTTCGGATCTTGGACTTATCTTTTAAAATATTATGTGTTTCCTTATAAAATGTGTTCGCTATCAACGGTTCAGATTAAAGTCATATTTCTATAAATAAAGGATAAAAACAATAATTATACGAATTGTAAAGACTACGAATATTATGATTATAAAGCTAATAAATATTTAGCTATAAAGAAGAGTTATCTTTAGCTGACCTGTGCAAAAAATAACGATGGATGCTAAGGCCTTCCGGAGGAACCAATTGGAATTTGTTGAAGAAAAGTGTGAAAATAAGATTATATACAGAGCTATAGGCAATAAAGAAGCGCACTTTGCAGACTAATCCATTTATATTCCATGACCTATTTAACATACTTTTTTTCCCCTAAAAATTCCATATTTTACCATAGTATATGTTTTTACCTTCGCCTGTTTGCTGCTTGTTTATTTTTGTCCTCTGCATGTTGTGGAATTATTTTATACACATTTATTTTTCATTTTTTCTGTTTTTTATCATATATTTTCAGCTTGTTGTTGTTGTTGTTGTTGGTGTTTGTGTTGTTATTCGTGTTGCCGTGGCTGCCGTTTGCCTTCAGTTTGTCGGCTAGGCAACTTCGCGCTATTGCCCTGATTAGAGATGTTGATAAGCCCCATGTCATTCCATCTCAAGCTGCCCGTTTAAATTATGCATCTATCTATCGTGCTCGGTGCGTTTTGCATTAGCTGTGCTTATCGCATCGCCGCATTCTGCGAGAAATATCCAGCAACAAGAACCGACATGTTTTCCAACGTGTTCCACCACTTGCCATTGGCGGCGTAGCCTATACTGCAGCGACAGCAACAGAAATACATAGATTTGTACATTTATGTATATGTACAACAGCTTGAAATGCCGTCATGTGCAGTCTATGGCATTGTTTCGTTAAAAAGCAAAGTGCCCCAACAATGGAGCTGCTGCTGCGCCATGCACTTGAAATACCAGTCAAGAGCAGCGGCATCTACGGTGCAGCCACCCCAAAATATGCAGCAGCATTTGTTGTTGGAAATGCCAACGGAAAATGGTTTTTGAGGCCAATGTTTGTTTTTCTTTGTGTTTATTTGTTTTGTTAGTTTTGTAATATTTTTTTTTTTACTACACAGAACAACAACATTTACGGTGTTTGCAAAAGTAATTACACACATGATGATCAACTTGGGGGCCAGGGACTAGCAGCACCTTGCAGAGAATTGCTGCTTGTTAGGGTCAGGTATGATTGAAGTAATTTTCTAGCCACTTACTTTTGGTTCAAAACCATAAATTTTGCATAAGGCAATTTATTTTCTGTATTTATTTTGTACGAATAAAAATCCATTGATTTTCAACTGATTTCAATTGTGTGCACAAATATTTTTAAGTTTACAAATTATTTAATTTCGGCCCACTCGAAATGCCCCAAATAGTAAATAAACGTTTGCAATGTGATTAAAAATAGTTTTTTTTTATTTATAAATTTCTTAATAAGTATGTCTTTTTAACTCCCGCTCATTGAACTCTCACAGCCATTGCCAATTGCTTGCGCTGCGTATTAGTGTAAGAACGAGAGCGCGATCGGCCATGGGACCGACCCCTAGAATGGCCGCGAGAACGTCCACGAGAATGAGAACGATCTCGCCTGCGCCCTCGTTTGACTGCAGAGATTTTCCTTCTGAGCACAAGTTCATTATCGGAACTGTCGGAGTCGGAATAGTCTCTGCAACGACAGCGATCTAGCTTCTCTAAGAGCGGATTCTCCTCCAAGTGCTTCAAGACATCTATAAGCAAACGCTGCGTTTTATTAGCCTGTTTAATTAGTTGGCTCATCAGGCCCATGGTATCTTCGTTTAATTGATAACGACCCATGATACTTTGGTATTTTCTTTAACCAATAACAAACACACATCTATTGGAACCTACTCTTACTGTTACTGTGCTCACACTTGCGTGCTATCACAGCTCTCGCTTTCAACTGATAACAAGCTCAGCGCTGCCGCAGCTTTTATAGAAATACAGCGAACGTTTGATAAACGTTTACAAACGTTCGTCCCGCTGTTTATATACGTTTATAAACGTTGACGGCCTTTCGTTGAACTCGAACGCACAGTAAACGTTACTCGGACGCTGAGTCATAACAATCTGTTAAAATATATGTAAATACCATGTTTCGACATTTATACAGAGTATGCGACGCAAATCATGCCAAATGCCATGACAATTCAAAAACATAAAGAAAAGATGAACCCATTCATAAATTCGCTTTTAAAAAAATTGAAATGCCTCCTCATCGCAACGAAATTAAACTCAAGTGAGGATTATTTATCACGGGATGCCCCTTAATATAGGAGTATGCTGGGATAAAGTCTACATAAATGTGTAACATGGCTTAAGAGAGTCGTGTGAGAGACAGGAACCCTTTCCGCAATGAACCTTCTCCTATTGGGAAGAGTTGAATCGATTATTTCACCTGTTTGTAAGAAAGAAAGGATCTATCTTACCTAAGAGGTAGAAAGCTTTGCATAATCGTCATCACAAGCTTTTGTATAGCATACGCAGTTGGAGTCAGACAAAGTCTTGAGGCACACCAAATGTTCAAATCGCAGCACTTTGGGACAAACCAGCCTCGAAAATTGTATCTCCCACCTCTAAAGATTGAACAAAAAATATACAAGCCACATCTTTCCCAAAGTAAAAGTTTAAAACTAACAATTTCGGGGCACACTCTTAATTTCAATAAAACATTAAGCAAAATGACTTTTTGGCTAATTGATTCGTTAGTCACACCTTGGGCTGAGTGTTAGTAATTTAGCTAAGCCCGACTTGGATATAGCATATTACAGATAATAATATACAGGTCAATAATACATAACTAACATTTTTGTTTTCTCTCAAAAAATAAACAAAATGTTTGCGACTATCCCGAATCAAACTCAAACTTAGCGTGTAATTAAGCCCAGGCCTATAATATTTGCTGAATCAAATAAAAATCGTTGACTATATATACGCTCCTGCAAATTGATCAATGCTACGAAAAATTTGATTTATACAACAGTAGTGCATCCAATATAGGGTATCTAAAAGAAATCGCGGCCATTGCGTACACAAACAGAATAAGAATGAATCGCACCCAACTTCAATAAGCTTCAACTTAGTTTCACCATGAAATCCCTGGAAACTTCAATTGTCGACAGTCTGACGGAACTGAGCACATTTTGTGCAGTGTAGGAGTACGTGAGCTTGTGCAGACCACGTTCATCTTGTGCTTGGCTCCTCAAGTAGCTTCAAGTTAGGAATTCATTGTTAGTTATGCGATTTCATTGCTTGTTTTCTTTGCGAATTTCTTGCGACAACAGCAGCCATGAAGATGAGGACACCCAAGCAAACTAAACGTCTTTCATTGGATTTTGGCATGCCAGGCATCATGGCTGGAATCACGACTTCAGGCAGCCACCAGCAAAACAACAGCAACAACAACGATGCCAACCAAGGACCTGTAAGCCACCCTCAATCGCATTGCATTGCACGGCAGCAAGTCAAAGTCAAAGTGTTCGACATTATTTGAAATTCATGAGTGGCATTCTCTGCTGGCGCTGTCTTCCCTAGCTCTGGCATGAGCTCTACGTTTTGTCTGGCAAATAAATTCAAGTAACAGCAGCTGATAATGGCATATTACCCACACTCAGGCCCCCACTCACATATAGCTTCCATTCCCACCCCCCACCCCCCTCCCGCACACTTCTAATTGAACACGCACGCTAATTAAGACACCAATAGTTTTGGCTTTACTTCTAGCTTCCACTTTTTGTTCGTGATGTCGATTGTATGTGTTTCTCCCCGGTTATTTGGTCCTTGACTGCTTTGCTCCGCAATCCAATTTTCGTTTCGCTTCTTGCGCTCTTGCATGTAACGCAATTATTACGCTAATTAACTGTTTAAGTTTATGCTAATTAATAGCTCGCAAGTCGCCCGAAACATTTCCTAGCTGGCGTTCAATTTAAAGGAGCCCTTATGCAATAACGCGCTACGCAAACAAATAGTTTTGCTTGCATATACGAAGTATAAACAAGATATATGATATGTTATACTTAAACAATCTTCTTGCTACTATATATATATTTATTTATATATTTATTCCATATATATATATATATATATATATATATATATATATATATATATAAGCCAATTTGTTCCGATTGACGATTTAATATTGCTTTTTTGTTTACCATCTGATCGGATTCAAACTCATTTTTAAAGATCTTTGTGAAAATTCATTGAAGAAGTGTCTTGCATTGTTCGAAAAATCAACCCCGTTTAAAAAAATAGTACTCAATAGTTGTATGGATGACAATTTAAAAGATTATTTGCATATATGGGCTTCCATCTGATAGACTCTCACTTTTGTCTAAACATCTACATAAAACTTCTATCGTTTGCGGAAGTGCAGTAGGATACAAAATCTGACTTTATACAACAACATTTATATTGCTTAAAGAATAATACGCATAAAAGATGCAAACTTTCTAATGGATGTTTCTGCAAACTAACTTAACAGGTTTCCTTTTAGTATTTCCCAAGAAATGTGCGGCTTATAATATATATCCTCTCAACTTCTTTATGTTCTAAGTACATTTAAAAATCTTAAAAATAAAACACAACCCATTTTAAAACTTGTACTGTAAGCACCTTGCTATTATGCACTTTTCAACTTAGGCAGCAACTAATGCACTAAAATCTTACTCCATTTGGTGAACCCTTCACCCCTGGCACTCCGTCTGTGGCCTGCAGCACACACTTGCTGACTCTGACACTGGTGTCCATGGCAAGTAATGCTTCATTCCTGGCATTCACACGTCACCGTCACTCAGCAGCGAGCGGAAACAGTTAGCAGCCATCATGACTTTTCCCGCTCGCCATCCGCGTGCCTAGTTGCTGGACATGTATGTGTGCGCATTTCTTAAAGTTTGTTTGTATGTATCTGTGTGTACATGTAATTATTGTAGGTCCGACGTCATCGTCATCGTCGTGTTTGTGACGACAACGCCAACTTGTTTGCATACAAATTAAACTCGTCATTTATGTGCGCGTTCTCTTTTTCTTATTTACTCTCTCGCTCTATCTCCACTGCTCTCTCTTTCTCACACACACACTCTCTCGCTCTATGCCTCTTCCCTACCTCGCTCTGTTACTTCCTCCCCTTTGTACTCTCTCGCCCACTCAATAGCGCGCTCCGTTGCACACTGCAGATTAATTTATCATCTCGCTTTACAAGCATTCTATGAGTGTAATGAACTTTTAACAAGCAACTGCCACACCCACAATGCCCACCGCCCTACTATACACAGCCCGTCGACGCGTTAGTTTTTGCATTTTTTCTCAATGCTTTTATTAGCGCAATGCAAATATTGTTCAACTGGTCCACTACACACTCATCAACCGTAAAAAAATGGTATACATATTATATATGTTATCTACCCGCACTATCTTTAACTGCACGGTTTGAGTTATATTTTACATTAACAGTTAAAAATATAAATTTAAACTACAAATAAACTTTCGTTAATTAAACCTTTGACGCGCATTTGTTATTTGAGAGCGGTGTATTTTGCGTATAAGATGAGTTTACACAAATATCTTAGAAAATACTACCTAAGCCGATCACCAATTTTCAGTGCAAATTTCCTAACTCTCATATAAAGATAAATATATATTTGAAATAACGTACTCACCTGTGAATCCACAAGCATGATTATTTTATCGTGTGGGATAAACACATCACTGAAAAAAAACAAAAAAGCAGAGATAATGGTTATTAGCCAACATTCATACGATTGGATAGTTGTTACTTTTGTTTTAAAGATGTGTTTACAATACGTACCTATATTTTAAATTTCTTCGTCCAAAGCCATAGCCTCCGCCATACTTAAATACACCTGCTCAAATGCTAAAGCCTCTTTATCCTTTTCTACTCAACGGCCATCTCCCTTCAATGTTAAAGCCGCTGCCTCCTCTTGGTTTAAGCCGCCGCCTCCAATTTTCAAGCCGCAGCTCCTGTCTCCTGTCTCCGTCTCCATATGCACAAATACTTGCACATATTAATCACTGCAACCTCACATGCATACATATTAACATGCATACACAAACACACATATGTATTTATTTTGACTAACATGCACACACATACACACATGTCAACAGAAACATATATAAAAACATACTTATATATAAACACAAGTGCATTCATATACGTAAGTACATACATGCATAAATACACACATACATACGCATACAAATAAATATATATACATCCATATATACACATATACACACACACATACTGACAGAGTCATGCATACATTATACATTTGACTTGACCCATCTACTGACGGGTCTAATCACGAGGCAGACCTGATTAGAAAAGGCAGATCATATTTAGTTCAACTATATTTGATGATGAGTTTGAAGCCGATCGGATGGTAAAACAAAAAAAAAGTGCATGCATCAAAACCAAGCTTAATTTAAAAAAATAAATAATTACATATTTACATAATTAAATATTTGAGATCCTAATATTCGTCAAACAAACTTCTAATACCTTTGCACGAGATGCAAATACAAATACACATACGTATATGTATCTTATGTATACAATATCCTATTAAATTATTATGTATACAAAACTAATATTGTGTCAGAGCCGGTTGTTGCTTTTGCCACCACAACAAAGTTGAAAAACATAATTAAAGTTTTGCATGGCGTCGATCCCTCGGGACCAATGCCTGGAACCAGGACTAAAGGTTGACTAATGCGCGCAGCTTTCACGCGCCGAAAGGTAATTAAAATGCTAATAAACACTCGTTAAGTACATAATAACCCAGCAGGAGCCGCAACAACAACAAACAACGACAACGACAGCAGCCAACCGAAATAGAAGGCCCGACTAATGCGACTTATCTGCAAATTTACACCAGGCACGAGTGCACGACACGTAGCACACTTTGGTCTCGACCAAATTTACTAAATTTATGTCTCAAATTTTCACAAATACACACAGCCAGCAACATGGAGCTCGTTTTTTGGCAGGTCCTCGCAGTGTTGACTCTGTCACACTACTCGACTACTACTCATACTATTATTTTGATCAAGGACCGCATTGCTTATTATGCGTCGGACGTCGCCTCTAAAATATGAATTACAAGTCTGATTTAAATAAATTAGCTCATGCACACATAAACACGAAGGTCATACGCAGTACAACACTCGATACATACACAGCAAGCCAAGGGACAGAAACAATTCCCTTTATTTGTCCTTGTCGTAGGCCTCGTAATATGCTCACAAGTTGTTGACACACAAACACACCTAAGCAATATGAATAAATACACCATACATATGTAACTCTGCACATACGTAAAGGGTGTCAAGCTCATGCTACATTCCTATTGAACGACCAGAATCCAGGTATATAATGCACTTTCTTTATATTAAAAAGTCAAATTAAAGAATAAGATAATTATAATAGTTATGAAATTGTTTTCTGTTTATTGGGAAACAGAAAAATGCTCTAGCATGGATATTGAGAAAACGAAAACATTTAATTGATACAATGAATTCGCCCAATAATATGCCATAATTATATATTATATACTTAAGATTAAACAGATAACCGGCATTCTTGCTAGTTTGTTTTCATCACTTGTATTAATGAGTTGAAATCCGGACCTACAGCAACACCCTATATACCAGCC